AAACTGCTAATGACTCTAATTTGTCGTCATACACCTTCATTTTCCCCGAAGAGAATTAATCCGTATCTTCGTCGCAAGTTCACGATCAATTATCAATTTTCAAACATCCACTTGTGCAACTCGAAGATATCTCGTCACACATCGAAGAAGTTCCACGCTCCGTTCAAATGAGATATAACTCGATCCATTTAAAGTTTTCCTACGAACTCGAGTTAGGACCATTAGAGAGCGAACTGTGCTAAGACAAACAGACTTTGAAAGCAAGATGGCCGAGTATTTGAACAGCGAACGAACAATTATGGTTTTACCATTGACGTAATTTCGTTAGATTTTACGTATCTTTGGAAAAGAACGACAATATACAGGGTGTCCCTTGAATATCGTACAAATAATGAATAAAATAATTGGTTCGCTCATTAAAGCTGCAAAAAGAGAGAATACATTATAACATGTATTGAATAAATATATCAAAAGATGAATGCATTTCTTAATTTATCAGTATTGAACTTTCAGGCTTTTGTTAATTTTAAGTACTCAAGGGGTTAATAAGAATCACTGAATTTAAGAAATATACAAAATCGATTTTTTTTGGAAACGAGGCTTCGCACGAAAAAATTTTATTTCTCTCTCTTTCTCTTCTCGACTCAGTTTTACATATAAAATCACCTCCCTGTAGAATAGACAATGAGTAGACAATGCAAACACAAGATCGAACGCGACACGATGATCGCAGTCGAATTGGTTGGTTAAACACACGACTTACATATGTATATAGATGGAAATCGTTATGCTCTGCTCGAAACCTTGGGATTATATACATGTAATAGGCAATTAGTCACTATAAGATACCTGCATAAAAACATTTGTCTGATTCATGAAATGGCGAAATGGAGTTGGTCTCCACTAGTCGTGAAATATTTTTTCTCCACGACGATTTCAAAATTTCTTTCTGCTCGTTCTTCGTTAAATTCGTCTGCTCGCCTACGTTCACGGACTTGATATTCGTCCGTGATCGTTCACAAGTAATTTTTGAACAACTTCTTCCGCGTTATTCTTTCTCGATTCCTTAATCGTACATACAGTCAGTTGTAGATGACCAGATACATTTGTCAAATTTCAAATATTTAAATCAGGAAATGAGTGGGTTTAGACATCCTACGAATCATAATTAAATTTTTCGTTGAAGCTAGATCATTTGTATAATAGTGATGATGTTTCTTACATTTGCTTAAAAAAATAGAATAAATTCGAAACACTATTTTATGATTATCTGTGTATATAAAATCAACATACGTAAAGCGAATAAAATTTTTATATAAAATTATTATTGTATATAGAATTATAGTTAAAATTACAACTATAACAATAAGATTAATTAATTGTAATGATATTTAAAAGCACAATGATCACACTTTTCACTTTCACACTTTCATCACATAGATATATTATTTTCTCGATTGAGAACGTCTCTTATTTTGAAAAAAATCAATGAAATAAAAAGCATAAATCCTGACCTTCGAAACCATCGAAATTGAGCGTTCAATGTTTCACTAATCAAACAGGTTTGTGAAATTTCCATGAACAGCCGGACTGAAATTGACATATGATTGTCATCTCGTATTTTATCTCTTTCTGTCTTTTTCTTCCAACTATTCACAGGTCAATAATCCATGAAACTTACATCGCATAATATTTCAGGGATAAATCGGTTTCTGAAATCTGTTTCCGACATAACAACTTCGAGATAATGTGGAACGAGTCGATTATCATTTTTATATTCAATCGAAGATCATTTTATTCGATCATATTAAGAAAAAAAAAAAAAACAATCTTCGACGACACGAAGAAACGTCCCGTACGGGAAATCCCGAGGTCTAATTAACTAAGCAATCCGTGCGAAAACCTCCTACGCGTAATAGTATTACGTAGATAATTTTTAAAGAAAATCTTCCAAGATATTTCAACGTATTTTTGGTAATATACTGTTGTTCCATTTTCCAAATTGTTTCTAAATAAACTTGAAATTCAATGAAAATTCGCTAAAGTCGAAAGAAATTTTACTAAGCCATACTAAACTTGTTTACTTACTTTTGAAAGTTCCAAATTTCATTCTATTTTAATTCCATTTCAAATCAGGAATTATTAAGTAATGTAGACATTTAGATGTAAATGAATTAAACGTAGAAATATTTTCAAATAAAGCAGAATACGATCAATCTTTCACTGTTTGGTAGAAATGAAAGTAAAAAAAAATAAGACATGACTGTAGAAAATCGAATTCTAGTCTTTCATTTATACCTAAATACGAATAAAAATGAACAATATTTGTTTAAAAGAAAAATCAATATTTGTCTGAATAAAAATATAAAATAAAAAAGTGAACAATATGAAACTTGCCTGAAGAGAATCGTATTCAAATCTATTTATTTTTTCCATTAATTTCTAAATACGAATGAAAACATCAATGAAAATCTAAAAGATCAAAACGTAAAAAAAAAAAAATCTAAAAAAATCGAAGAATCAAACGAACAAAGGTCTAAACTTCTGCTAAAATCGAGTTTGAATCTTCCATTTCCTTTTGCGATACGCGATGCAATATACCATTTTTAGTGGCACTATAAAATCGTGCGCGTATTCTAGCGGGCTGAAGACTGAAAGATCAAAAAAACAGGCATTAAAAGAAACGTAAATTAAAAATAAAAATCATTTGATGGAAGAAGCTGATTCCGCTAAATCTATCACATGGCAGAATTTGAACTACAATCGCAAAAAAAAAAAAAGTAGGGATGTAATGTTGCTGAATCATCGTTCGTTGTCGTTCGACTGGTTAAGTTCCGATAGTCGCCCCACGTTGAACCGTGTTCACACAATGAAGGCCTGTGCTAATGAGATTCTTGGTGGAGAGGTATACCTGTTTGGTATCAACGTAAACTCGGGACATCCCAAGACGTTGAGAATGCTCACGGTTACTATATAAAGACCGCCCTGTGGATTTTCTCATCGTCACTTCACTCTCGAATCTCGAAGAAGTTGCTGGTCCAGTATCAAATCCGTAAAGGATGAAGACTGTGTTAATTTTGGTGGCTGTGTTGGCTACCACCCTCGCTTATCCTGCTTATCCTAGCAACCCTGACGATGATGGACTACAAGGTACAGTAATTCGAAAGTTACTTAAAAGTGAAAGTTTCATAGTTCGTCGAAACAAAAACAAAAAAAAAAGAAAGAAATTAATGAGGGTTTGAAGGATATTGAAAAATATTTTTCAAAGTGTGAAGTTAATAATTGGAATATTGTAATTATATATATTAGTAATATAGTATTTTTGAAAGTGTAAAATTAATGATCAGACAATTGCAATTATTAAAAAATTAATAATTGAGAAATTGAGATTGGAGAGTTTAAGATATTAGATGATTGAAAAGTATTTGATGGTAATATCTTTTTGAGTATAGAATTAATAATTAGAAAGTAAAAATAATTGTGATTAGAGGGTTAAAAATTTTAGGTGTAAAGTTAACAACAGAAAGGTTAGAAGACTAAAAAGATATCTTTAGAAATGGAAGGTTAATAGTTAGAGAATTAACGATTAAAGAAGTAAAAAATAATGGACAACTAGAAAATATCTTTGCAACTGTAAAATCAATAGAAAATTGTGATTGAAGCAATATTATCCAGAAAAGTCAGAATTAGAACAGATCAATTTAGAAATGTAAAGTATAATGATCGAAGTTAAAGATTCAATGAAATTAAAGAATATTTGATGGGTTGGAACGCATTGCTTTCAAGTACAAACAAATGCACAGTGATGATATTTTCTTTGAGAGTCATGTGACAGCTTATGTTTTGCATCTCAAACGAAAAATGATTAACATACTTCGCATCACATTGACAGGATTAAAATATACTTGGGGCTGTGACTCATCGTTTAGTGTATGTCTAACAGATCTCTGAACGGAAAAAATTATTATCTTCTGACTTTCGTTCTTCTGGAACTTCCTGAGACTCGACTTCATAAAATCTTCAGTTCATCTTTTTTTCTACTTTTTTATACCGATACAATTTTCTGATTTCACACGTCCAATCTGGTGCCCAGATCAATGACAAATTGTCGCGAATATACCAGATTTATTTAAAAAGGAAAAAGGAATATTATTAGAAGATCGAAAGAAGTTAATTTCGATAGTAACAATATTTTTCGTGTCATCTATGTTCTACATCATTGTTTTTAAGAAACACGAAAAGAACTGTCCCTATCACTGATAGATATCACAGTCCACATTATGAGGATCAGTTTGTTTCAAACGTGTTGCGAAAGTTCACAATTAAGTTTATTATTTCAATAATTATTGTTATCCTCAACAACTCGATGAGTTCAATTTAAATTCATTAAATTCAAACTGTCCAATAAATAAATTCAATAAAAATCCAATTAAAAAAAAATTAAATTAAACTACAGCACTCTGTTCTCTTAACTTATCAATACACGACATTATGTCCTCCTGTACGATTGACATTTCATTACAACAAATCATATTCTCATAAATTGTAATACAAGACTTTAAGCGACAGATCTCACACACACACACACACTGGCGATGTGAAATAATTATGATCTACTATTGACGTATACATTAATAACACTCGAACAAGAAATTATAAATTTGTAAAACTCGATCTACCTTTATCTTCCTATTCCTTTATGTGTGTGTAATTTTCAGTTTTGGATGTTGCGCAACTTCCGCTATCGAGGAATACTAGAGAGGCAAATCCAGAGCCACGTCATTTTGGTCATTTTGGTCATTTCGGTCATTTTGGAGGTGGATTTGGAGGTGGAATCGGCGGATTGGGCTATCGTCCTTATGGTTATGGGGGCGGAAGCTCCGCTCATGCTGGCGCTATTAGCTCCCCATTTGGTAGCGCATCTTTCGCGAGCGCGAAGGCTGGGTAAATATTCACTTGTCGATAAACAAAATAGCGAGCTTCTATGCATTCGTGGGAAAGAAAATGCGCATAATTCATAAAATATGCAAGAATATACAATCGGACAAATAAAATATTTATTAAAATAGCTAGTAAACGAAGCAAATCTCTAGTTTGGTTTCTTTATGCATTATGGTAAAAATGCAATTTAATCATCAACTCCTTGAAATTTCAAATTTAGGCTTAATTTTCAAATATTAAACTCTAATAATATTTGATTTTAAAATATTGGAACTTTGATAAAATACCATCGAAAAGGTACATTAGTGCGAGAAATTTTGCGGTCTAGATGTTGTGTGTGTTATCCAAATATTGTAATATTGAATTTTATAAATTGCTATTTCTATTGCAGGGGTTTCGGATTTGGGAGATGAACTCTTCCTTTTGAAGACTAACATTGGACAACGACCTAGCCTGTACTGCTCAATCTTCTGATACTTCCTTGTTTGTTTAAGTATTTTGTAAAATAAAATTTTGTATATTAAACTCGATTAGACTCTCTTCTTTTAATAGACATGAAACTATACCAAACATGGAACATTTTAAAAGTACCATAACTTTTTTAATCCCTGTCATATCGATCAAACTGTTCTATTATTGTCATTAACGTTAATGTGTGATCAGTTTTGCAAAAAACATAAAGTAGAACAAAACTGTCTTGCAAGCTCGTTCATTTCAAAAGATGACATCAAGATTGAAATTAACTTCATCGAGTTCATCGAGTGTCAAAGAACATTCTAGCAGTGCAAACATTTCATATTCGTAACGATTCAAAACGATCTGTAACAGAGGAGGGATATTTGGAAAACATGGCATAGCACAGACTGTTTAACGATGCACGTGGTCGTTATAAAATCGATTGCTCTGTCAGAGGCAGTCATTAACGTAGCTCGATTGACGATCCGACTTTCTTCTTCGCGAGAATCGAAACAGAAAATTACTGGAAAATGAAGTTTCTGATAATTGCGTTACTGTTGGTTTTCCTGCAAGTGAGTAGAAGTTGAGATCCCCCTTCTGTCAGAATAATTTCAACGACGATAAATCTGTTTTTAGATACAGCATGGCTTCTTCGCTAAATTGGAATCGAAAGGTAAGAGACAATTATCCGAGCAACGAATGAATGATCAAAGCTGTCGTTTATCAACATTTTCAAAGACACTTGTAACGAAAGAACTTTTACGTACATATACAGCTTTTTGTACGACATAAATTTTAAATTTTTAAATTTTCATTGACATTACAACGAGAGACGAGTATCATGATTGCATTGATATTTACATTTGAAACCAATCTGAAAATGTATGGAGAAGTTACGAGATACTTATTACAAGGATAGTACAATTTTGTAAAAAAATGATACATGCAAGTATAGCATGAATGATCATAATAAGTATTACGCATGAATGGCTTTACTTGTCTGAATATTAATACAAGAGGGAAACAGAGTCTCGCTATAGCGTTAATGAAATTTTAAAATATTTTATTTACAACATACATAACACTTTTGTAAAATGTTTCTATAAGTATTTCAATATTTTTGTGAACAACTGTAAATGCCAATCTCGCTCGGTTCTTTTGTTCCATTCTGAAGAAAATCAAACAGAGGAAGACCAACAGCGAAGCATTCGAGTCCATCGGGTCTCTGACCGGGACTTCCCCAAAACCGACTTCTCTCAGACAAAGAACTCCATAAAAGAAACCATGATCAAACAGGCGCTTATATTAGGAGGCGAGGAATTCGAGAAACTTCTAACAGATTTCCCAAGTTTAGGCAATCTCGTACAACACGAGGCAAGTTTCAGCTTTAAATCGCACAAATCGATTTTAGTGTACAGAGTATGAGTATTACTTTGCAGACGCATAATGTACATGCGAGAATAAGAAACAAATACTGTATATAGACTGCAGACTTTTATGCAGATTTACATAATATTTTCGAGAATGTGATTAAAAAAGTAGAGCACCAGCTTAAAGAAAATTTTTTATATATAAATATTCTTCTCATATTCTGCGATTTGTGCATTTTAAAATTTCCTATAAAATGCATAAAAAGTCCGTAATCTAATTACACATACGTAATTCCACTTTTTCTGTGCCATTTTCGTCTCCCTTTATTGAATTTAAAGTATTTAACCAATTGAAAAAAAAAAAAA